CGTCTTCTACTCCCACCTGCAAGACGTCCCAATGCAGCAAACCATCCGTGCGCAGCTCGTCGACTTTTACGAAACGTACCTCCGACCTAGAACGCCGCCGCCTGGCGCCAAAAAGGGAAGAGATGCGGGATTCAGTGTTGAGGACTTTGTGTTCGATGCGTACTTGACTAGAAATATGGACCGCGTATTCTTGGTGGATGTGGGGCCTTATTTGCCCAGGACGGACAGTCTGCTGTGGACTTGGGAAGAATTAGAGTCGGAAGCGGCGCGCATACACGGAGAGCAAGGACACGTAAATGCTCAAGCGAGCACATCTCCACCCGCTCAACCGCAGCTGAGACTGATCAGCAGCGAAGGACAGGCTAGTCAGTCTGCCCCTACGCATGTCAGGAACATGGTACCCAGAGGCGTTCTGGAGCACAGCGACGGCAAGAGCATCGTGGATTTTGCGAGGGAGTGGGAGGAGAGTCTTAGAGGTGCCGTTCTGGAAGGTGAGGGTGAGGGCGCACGCGAGACCAATTCTTCACAGGCGACATTACATCTGCAAGGCGAAGCGCAATCGGGACCGGAAGGTCCTCCGCTTGAAGAGGCCGAGGAAAGAGCAAGTGTAGCGACGGACAGGCAGGTCAGATTTGATGGAGTGGCCGCGTCGGACGAAGAGTCCGAAAAAGCTGAGACGGACAATGAAGAAGATGTGGCCGAGCGCGGCGAGGGCACTTCCATTGGGCAGGCCGGATTCTTTGCGGCGGTGAGTGCAGAGGAGGAAATTGGCAAGGGTAAGAGGACTTGCACCTGACGCGCCACCCGAGCAACCTTCGCAGCTTGGAGGTCTAGACGAGGGGGCTCAGGGAGAAGGAGAAGACTCGCTGCGAAAGAAGACTGCGAGGAGAAAGAAAAAGAGAAAGTCGAAAGAGGGAACAAATGCTTCGGCGGATGCTGATGCTGTCGAGGCTACGACTGCACCGATTCTTGGAACAGATCAATTTACGAAGGCCGCTCCAGATGCGGGAAAGACTGGCTCGCAGCCACAAGCTCAAAGAAAAGCCAAGAAGCCTAGCAACGGCCGCGCGAGCGGATCTAGCAAGGCAAAAGCAGATGGTAAAAAGACGCTTGGCAATATGAGCATGGACGAATTCACCGAGCTGTTGGCCTCGCAAGCCAAGCTGTCTGGTCGCTCGTCGGAGTTGTCTGGCGACGCAGTCGGATCTTCGACATCTCAAGAGGCTGATGCTTCCATCTCCAACACGCACCTGTCCTCCTTGCGCTCCCTTCTGGCTCTCAGCGCATCCTTTCTCGATCCTACCGTCGAGCTCAAGCGACAATTCGGAGCTGCAGCTGTCAG